TGTTTGGCGAAGAGGGGGTGTCGAGGTGACAATTACCGAAAGTGATGGGCGTGTCGTGGCGACAGGGGCCCGAAAAAGGTGTGCCAAGGCGGCAGTGACCAAAACGAATGGGTGTGTCGTGGCGACAGTGACCTGAAGAAGGTGTGTCGAGGCAACAATGACCGAAAGGGATGAGCATGCCGTGATGGCAGTGGCCCGAAGAAGTGCAACACAAGCAAATGATAATTATCATGCAAGCTAACACATATAAGATGCAACATGCAAGCATGCAATATAATGCAAAAGCAAACAAACATGCAAGTGATCGATCGACCGGACCGTGGTGGTCGGTCGAACCAAAGTGATCGGTCAACAAGGCTGGAGAGGTCGGTTGAACCAAAGTGAGATGCTCACCTAGTTGAGGCGGCCGATCGAAGAGAATTGAAATGCTCGTCGGGTCGGGGTGGCCGGTCAAAGCGAAGTAAGATTCTCACCAGGCAGGGGCGGCCTATCGGAGAGAATTGAAATGCTTGTCGGGCTGGGGTGGCCAGGTTCACCAATGTGCAGATAGAAAACCAGGCTCGTGCTAATGACCTCACTTGGGAAACCTAAGGTTTAGACCCTTTGATATGCGGCATCGCCCCCTCTTGCTCTAGCGAGGAAATGTGGGGAGTTTCTCTCAGGATCTCCGAGGGGAAAACTCTCCACGACATCACGAAATGGACTAGCTACAAAACTTTTACAATTTCCTGAACTCCTCCAGACATTGCAAAGAGAGCCAGCTAAAAGGCTTCTCTCGCTTTGCCAAGTCCAACCTCCCAGTTTTTCTAAGGGAAGTGAGGGACTCTGACCCATCAGGACATGTGCTAAGGCTCACAACAAAATGGAGACACTCGGCTATACGGTGGGTGTTGGCTACGAACAAGAAATCCTAACCTAAATGCTAGCACTAGGAAATCCAACGATCCATCACGCAAGCACGTCGTGGCACCGACCACGTGTGGGCGATTGAACCCACACGCCTAGACACCACTAAAACCTAGGGCTAGCTAGGAGTTAGAAAATCTCACCACCGTGACAGTTGCGGACGCATTTTCTTTACTTGATCCAAGCTCATCGGTGTCTGATCCATGCTTCAGTGTGCCTCGTAGAATGTGCACAAGACAACAATCAACAAGTTCGGTTTTTTAAGTGAGAAGCCTAGGTCTGTGACTTGGTATTTGAATGTACATATACATATACATATACATACATACATACACGTAAATCTTCCTTCAAATAACTTTTTCTTCTGCTACAAAGCCGCTTCATAACAAACCATAAGTATTGTTAATTGTCCAACAAAAATGAAAACGACAACAAAAGCCCCTACAGAAAGAAAGAAGATGACATTATGCATTGAAAAAGAGATTTATACAAATACCACATAATTCACATGTATTTACATATCAAACATCTAAAATTTATTGTTTACATACATGAGGCTCAAATCTTCAACCTCATAACAAAAATATAACTATCACTTCATTGAAGTGATATACACCTTTCTGGACTTTGATGTAGTTACAACATTGGTATTATATATGCAAATATTATATTTTAGATATTAGATATGTAAATACAAAAGAATTGTGTAGTGTGATCTAAATTTTCATTTCAAAAAAAAAAAAAAAAAAATCAAGTTAACATCAGCAAATGAAATTGGAGTTATTTATCTTGCATCTTAATTCTCCTCTTGATCTCTCTCTCCAACTCCTCAGACCCACCAACCTCCTCCAATTCCTGATAAGACATGAACAATATATCAGAAAGGAAACAATCAAAACCACAAGAAAAAATAGCTTAGAGATGCATCTGAGAACATAAAGTTTATATGGGCATTAATTACATTTATATTTACCAGGCTATTTTTGTGTCTTTACATATCCAACACCTAAGCTTAATTTCATATTTACATGCATAAAACTCAAATTTTTGATATCATATAAGAAAAAATACTAATTAAATTGAAATGCATTTTTTCATGAATAGGCTTGTGACAACAAAACATCATATTCTTAAATACAAAAGTTTAGTAAGAGATAAAAAAAGGTGTAGACCATCTTGGATGTGAACAGAGAATTACAACAATAGAAATTTCGGTCATGAAATTGGGATTAAAATTTACCAAGAATGAATTTCAAATTATTAGATTATAAAAAACTAAGTGCAAAACATTAATAAAAAAACAAACTTGCAACACATATTTTAAAGAAAAATCAATGATTTTTTTTTTCCATTAAGCCGCATCAAACTCTCAACAAAATTAAGTTAAAATATAATTGAAGATGTCATCAAATCTAAGAACAGATTAATGTATAACTCGTTATGACATAATTTTATTCAAAAAATATTATCACACGCTCCGATGCACCATATAGGACTAAATTTCTGACATAAAATGAGTTGTTTTCTTAATGCGAGAATTACGAATTACTCAATATTCTATAGCAAATGCATATAAAGCAAACGATGAAAAAATAAAATTTGGACACAATATATATATATATATATATATATATATATATTTCATCCATTAAAGTTGCAGAGAAAACAAGAGCGCCAACGCACCTTAGGTCCCATGAAAAGCCCGTAGGGGACGCCTTCAAATTTGTCCGAGTGGTGGATCTGCAAACACCTCAGATTTATGATCAGCAATATTAAAAATAAAAAAACTAACAACCAAAAATCGTCGCTTTCTGCTATGAGATTGCGCGAAAGTGGAAGAAGAATCGAGAAGAAAAGGAAAAAAAAACGGTGTGTGTGGATGAAATAGATGTACACGTACGCCCCTGCGCACATGATATTTGCTCAGGGAGAAAGGATACCTGATGAGCGGCGGCCACTCGCCGGAAATAGGGGACGTTGGCGATGGGCCCCACCGGAAATCTTCGGTGTACCAGGCCGTCGTGGACGAACATATATGCAATCCCGAACAGCGTAATCCCCAGACCCTGTAATCTCTCGAAACGTGGACGCGTCAGCGACCATTAAGATTTTTTTTTCTTTTTTTTTTAATTTCTGTGTTATTGAATAAAAGCTTGAAATTTTGAAAAAATTATTAGGTCAGGAGTCCTAACACATTAGAATTTTAATGGTGTCAAGTGGCCCCAAAAAAATGTATTACTGTGGGATCATTTGACACGTGACCTCCCACCATATGGTGGCTCATAATATTTCCTCTAAGTTTTGAGGCCTGAATGTCTGATAATATTGTTTTTAAGCATGCTTATTTATTTCGGAATTGAAATTGGCGACCATTAAGATTTTTTTTTCTTTTTCTTTATTTCTGTATTATTGAATAAAAGCTTGAAATTTTGGAAAAAATATTAGCTCAGGAGTCCTGATACATTAGAATTCTAATGTGGGACGTCACGTGTCAAGTGGCCCTCAAAAAAGTGTATTATCATGGGGTCATTTGACACGTGACGTCCCACCATTAAACTCCTGATATTTTCTCGAAATTTTGAGGCATGAATGTCTGATAATATTATTTTTAAGCATGCTTATTTATTTCGGAATTGAAATTATACATAAATGTTTAGGAAGATTTACATACATGCCAGTATGCATATTTAACGCCTAAATTTAGATATTTAAATGCCGCTTTACCAATGTTTTTGCTTTTAAATAATTAATAATGGAAATATTTAAATTTATTGATATATTTAATGAAAAATTAAATTATTTTAAAAAATATGTATTTATTAATTACAAATTTTAGTTTGATATTTAAAAAGTACATAAAATGATATTTTCTTTGAAAATATCAAATTACATATGAGAGTTTAGAGGGTATATTCCCATCATGCCCGAAAATATCAAATTATATATGAGAGTTTAGAGGGTATATTCCCATCATGCCCAAAATCATGTGCAAACAATTCTTTTTTTTTTTTTTTAAATAGCTCTATCGAAATCCAAAATCATGTGCAAACAATTCCTTTTTTTTTTTTAAATAGCTCTATCGAAATCGATAATTTATAACAAACAGACAAAAACGCAGCCTCTTACCGCGCCGAAGCAGAGTCCAGGAACAAGACCGCGGTGGAAGAAACCATAGGAGAGAAGGAAGATGGCCGGAACTGCGTTTATAATGGCGAAGACATCATTGAGCTCGAAGGGCCCCTCCCTCGCTCGGTGATGCGATTCATGCATATCCCAAAGCGATGCGTGCCACAGCACCCTGTGAGCCCATCTCGCCCAGAACTCCATTCCCACCTAATCCATTAAACTCTCTCAATCCTCATATGCAGATCCCTTGTTTCAATCCAATCAATTCATTAATCAGTTTCAGCTAATCTTACCGCAGCCCCCACGGAAAGAGAAAAGGTCCCAAGCATTTCGGTAAAGGGGACTTCACCGCCCTGCAGTTAGGTCAAATGTGTAAAGAAATCGCAGAAGGGGAATGAGATTTAGGGTTTCGAGTTTTGACCTCCATTTGCCATGCGAATCTGTAGTAAACTGCAGCGACGGCCATTGAGGTGATGCCAAAGGTCGACATCACCGCTGCGATCAAATATGCCCTTCGCTCCGCCCGTTTCCGAGCCATTCGATCGGATACTCTGTTCGCCGAGATTTGTGTCGGATCTTCCTTTGGCTCATAGGCGTTGTGCTCTGGCAGCAGCGAAGGGATGGCGGTTTCTTCAGAGGTATTTGAACTGGATTCTTCCATTACAAAGCAGATGGTCGCGGTGTGATCCCGCCGTGTTCTAGATGGATGAATGAAGAGCGCGGTGTTGCGGCGAGGCGAAAGGGGTGAAAACAGTAGGATGCCGTCGTCGGAGCGGTGAGTTGAGGAGAATCCTAAAGGGATTTTAGCAAGGCTTCGGGATCTCAGATTCATCGATGCGGCGGAGAGTAAGACCGCCATGATTCTCTGCTACAACTTCAAAGCGACCGGGATTTTGTATGCTTCTCGCAGGCGGAAGAGGAAAGGATCCTGAACCACAGAACTGGCGGCCTTCATTTAAGCTTACGGTGCTTATAAGAAAGGACACTATGTTGAAATAAATTACATGGATTGCCATGAAGGAGAGCATAATTAGTTAATTAACCGTCCTATCGCCTAGTGGCATTATAAGTCAATAATTGATGCTACACCATAAAAGTCTTGGTAAAAAATTACCGGAATTTCAAATTGATAAATGAATCATTTTTTTTATTTATTTATTTAAGAATAGTTTTGAATGGATGCCATAATTTAATTGATAAATATTTTTATAATTATGCCAAATTTTAAGTTGAGAAGAAATTAATTTAGAATAAGCAATACGATAGAATAATATATTGATATGACTTGATTTTATAAAATTATCTAATATACATACAACAAAGTAAGTTGTAAGGATAAACATTAGGGTTTTACGACAAATTAAAAAGAAAAAAATCAGTCAAATAATTTCACTGGTGTACACTAGATATTATAATTAATGTCATTTTTTTTTAAAATAAAGGATGGCATTAATATGTCATAGTAGGAATGAAGTATGCGAAATAGATTTCATTATAGTAGCTAAAGGAACATATTCACTTTTGAAGTTGTCTATTGTTTAAAGAATGTTTGGTCGTTTATTGTTGAGAGTGCAAAGGCTAAGATGTCTAATAGGATTTTGTTGTAGATGGTATGCTTAGGCCATAACAATGATTGCTTGTCACTAAAACTAGGGACCATGGAAGACAAAGCCTATGGGTGTCAATATTAGTGTTGACCAGATGCATTAACCTTGTAAGTGATAACACATGTCACATTGTATATTAATCATCTAAAGGCATTTTTGGGGCAGCTTGTATTTTTCAATATAACCAACTTATTCTGAAACACGGCACGCGGGTCAACCTACGACATACGTTATGCATATGTTTAATGTAAAAATAAAACCCCATTTTAGGATAAACGGGCAAAACGCACGACCCCGCACTTATAAGCTGCCCCCAACGGGCCCTAAGTGATGGCATGCATCAACAATTTTTTATTATATTTTCGCACAAAAATTTTGCTGTTTTTTGGTTTAATTAATTCTATCTTTTCATACACAAGATTTTTATATAAAATTAAGACAAAACTCGGTACTGCTGTAAATATTTTACACCCTATTGTTGTGTTGACCATAAGAACTACTTTTATTTCTAATGAGCACTCTTAAATGGCTAATAAAAATAAATCTCAATATAATTACATCTCTCACTAGTACTGAATGCATAATAAAAATAAATTTAGATGAAAAGACCAATAACCTTACACAAAAAGAATAACAAAAAGCTAAAAATCAAGATAACTAAACACTCGTTTTAAAATTCACACCTTTGATAGAAACTCAAATTACGTCATACACAACTAAACACAATCACTCTTCCGAAACATGAGGACACCAAAGAAGGAAAGAATTCACTAGAAATCAAAAAAATCACATGCAAAAGGAATATTCATGGCATCAGGTCCAATCCATGCATGGAATGTTCATATGGAGCCATCTAAGTGGCTAGAATGGGAGATAATGGCTTCTGGAGTTCATGATAAAATGAGTAAATCCTTTAAATTTTCAATGTCAGATTCAATTAACTGTGCTATGAGTTAAAAGATGTTGATAACTTTTACTTTAACAGGCATAAAATATAGCAAAAAATAAATTCTTGAGGAAAAAAAAAAAAAGTTTAAACGGCAAAGTATAAACAAAATAATGGAGACAAGAGAAGCTTTAAATGGCAAAGTATAAACAAAATAATGGAGACAAGAGAAGAGCAAAAAAAATATATAATAAACAAAATTGATGTAAAACATCTTTTAATTACTAATTAAAATTAAAAGATGATTAAAAAAAATTCAGTATTCTAAATTTAAATCATGCCTCTCCTACTCTTCTCTTAGTTCTCCTTTTCTGCTTCTCCTGGACTCTGTACCTATCTCTTCTCTCCTCTCTATTACGTTTCTTCGACACTTGCTCCGTCTTGGCCTTCATGGCCTCATATTCTTTCTTCTTCACTTGCTCCTTTAGCTGCCGCTTCCTCATCTGTTAAATATAACAGCACATAAAGCAATGGCGGTATGTAAAATCTAGAACCATAAGAGGTGTACAGCAAGATTGAATATTTTATACAAATCATCAATTTGTCACAACAGACCTTTTCATTCTTGATCAACTTGAGGTGTTGGACAATGGCATGAACTTTTCGCTCGTGGGGCTCCATGACGACTGCTCTTCGTTTTTCGAGAAGAGGCCTTTTCTGAGCGAGTTTGTTCTTCGGCTTCGAAGCGAATGGCAAATCCGCTTGTAGTTTTTGCGGGATCACTAAAGGATTGAACTTCCTCGGCAGGCGCTCGATAGGCTGTTGAAAGGTATGCAAAAATTATGTTGATGGAATAAAAACATCACGTAAAGTTTACATACACGCCGCTCAATTCCTACGGATTTACATATCTAACACCAAAAGTTCAATATTTGTACATATGCCACCTAACCGATACATGAAAATGTATATTTCACTTCTGTCCCCATTTCGCAGCACTTTCAGTTTTTTTTTTTTTCTATTTTTTGTTTTTAGTTTGTTATGTTTATGTTTTGACTTAAAATATATTTGGTTGTGGAAGTTGATTTTAAAAACACTCCAAATAACTTTTGGGTTCTTTAAGTATTTTTAAAAACAAGTAATTAGTTTTTAAACCAAAATTTTTAAAAACACAAGAAGTTATACTATCCAAACCTGCTTTCAAAAACATAAATAAAAACAAAAACAAAAAACAAAAGCAAAGCCAAACGGACAATAAAATAATTATATTTTTTATATGATATATAATATTTCAATTGTCTAAATGTTGAAAGTATAGGTGTTAGATATTTAAACATATAAGAATTAGATCGTATGAATGTAAATGCCCCAATTTAGAAATCTGAAGAACCTTATAGGCTGAATCTTTGTCATAGGGAATTGGGATGTTATTCTCCCGGCGAAGCTCCGCTACGGATTTCATGCCGTTCCATTGTTGATCTCGTGGCTGCAATGATGTCGTTACTGGATTGAAGAATTGGGGGATGTCAACTCGAGTCCAAGCACGCAAAAAGACAATGTCGCTCATGAGAATCCTGTCTTCAAATGTGCATCTAGCAATTCCTTCTTTAATATTTGCTCCCGATGCCTTCGACCGATTGCCTATTTCTGCTTTTGCGGCCTGCACCATGGAAAAGTTGCAGATTACACTTCCAAGCTAAAAGACTAAACAACAAAGAAAAACTAGGAAGAATCCAATTAAAGAGAAGCTTGATATTGTAGGAAGCATACCCATACATCACTGTGATGCAAAGCTAGCAAAAAACCTAAAGGGCTATTTGGGGTCACTTTTGTTATTATTTTCTTTTTTTTTTCTTTCTATGTTTTGATTCAAAACAAAATATGCATGGCTATTTGATTAAAGTATGGATATTTTTAAAAACACTCAAAACATATAAAAAATGTTTCGAGCATTTTAAAAAACATCTTAATTATTGTTAGAAATAAAAATAAAAAATGTAAAAAAATACACTATACAAACATATTTTTAAAAATAAAGGAATAAATAAATAAATAACAAATTTGATAAAAAACAAACCATAAGTAAACACTGATCACAACATTTTAAAGCATATAGCATTAGTAGAAGATAAATGCATAGAAGAGACTCTCCACTGACATTATGTAAATAATAATATAAGATTTGACATTCATATTAAGAATAAACTTGTATCTCAAGTATCTCTTTTCAATTTTTCTATTGCTTGTTCTCTATTGTTGTCAATTCCTTTATTGGAAAATTTTTTGAAAAAGAAGAAAGCTAAATAATAAAAAATATATATATCAATCAAATGGAGTGCAACATATGCACAAGGAAATGGCACCAAAAGAGAAACATAAGAAAAATGTTAGCATGCTTACCTTCTTGACCTGTCCTCTGATACCACTCACTGTTCTAACAGCAGCACCTTCAAACCTAGCAATTTCTAAATCAGAAGTAAACATGTCTTTGATTAAAGCTGTTTTCTTAAAGATCTTGCAAGGATAACCGACAAGCTTTATCTTCTTCACCATTCTAGCAGCATGATTAAACTCGAGCACCACACCAGTCGCTGTAACTCGGAAAGCTGCCTGAAGAGAAAAGTTCCACAATCAATATTTTTCTTCAGAGCCTAAGCAGAGAAGGCAAATTTTTCTCAAGAAAAAAATTCAATGATTATTTCGCACACTTAAAGTAATGAATTTTAGGGCGGCTGCTTCATAGTAACATATATTTGGTACACTGCAATATAGTAATTTCAGGTTGACAGCCTTAACATGGAAATAAGATTTTTAAAGAGGTCCAGTTTCCATAAGTTTGGCTAACTAATGAAATTCACTTATCAGAAACAATGTTACAAAGAACGGTCACAAAACCAATATTTTAATAGGGGCATTTACATAAATACCCGCAATTCTAATGAAGTTCCACGCTAAAAATTCTGCTTTTAATGATTTTTATAATATATTAGATACTAAGAAGGGTAAAAAATATATGTATAAACTAGCCAAACAAAGAGAAAAGAAAAGTAAAGATTTAACTCAAGTAAAGTGTATTAAAGATGAAAATCAAAAAGTATTTTTCTTAGAAAAAGATATTCAACATAGGTGGGTGAGTTATTTTGATAAATTATTTAATGAAGTTTCTGAAACTACGATCGACCTTAGTGATCTTAATATCGTTAACAATAATAAAACGTTTCATTTTTACCGTCGCATTAGTAAAAAAGAAGTTGATGGGGCTTTAAAGAAAACCAAGGGTGAAAAGTCTGTACGACCTGATGATGTCCCAATTGAAGTATGGAAATGTTTAGGAGATTTGGGAGTTTCATGGCTTACTAAACTCTTAAATATTTTATATTAAAAATTAATAAGATGTCTGGGGAGTGGAGGAAGAGTATTTTGATCCCATTTTTAAGAGTAAAGGGGACGCACAAGAGTGTGCAAATTATAGAAGAATTAAGTTGATGTGTCATACTTTAAAATTATGGGAGAGGGTAATTGAACATAGGTTAAGACGTATTACAAAGATTTCTCATAATCAATTTGGATTTACGTCGGGCAAGTGTACTATAGAAGCTATACATTTTTATTGAGAAGTTTGATGGAGAAGTTCAAAGATAATAAGAAGAATCTACATTTGATTTTTATTGATTTAGAAAAAGCTTACGATAAGATTCCAAGAGCTATCCTTTGGAGAGTTCTCTAGAAGAAATGTGTTGATATGACTTATATTTAAGTCATTAAAGATATGTATACTAGAGCTGTTACTTGTGTTCAAACTGAAGGAGGATTGACAAAATATTTTCCTATTTCTGTTGGATTACATTAGGGATCGACTTTAAGCCCATAT